TTTATTTTTTCATGTGCAATAAAATGGGCTTCTTAATAGGGTCGTATTTTGAGCTCTCAACAATGGCAAATATTTTCTGTACATTTAATTTTTAATATTTTTTGTTAAAGTCTACTTCATGCCTGCTAAATAGACGGGTCATAATTTTGTAGCAATACAAAACGAATTTCACCTCATTACATACTTATGTTAATTTTTTTACGGTCAACGTTTTATAAGCTAATATTATCTCACTAGTCGTTGTCACGTGCGTTATATGAATTTTGTATTTATCATATTTTTATTAGCATATGAATTTTAGTTTTTTAGAATATTTTTGAAGCAATAACTAGAAATGTTTCCATGATCTAAGAAAATACTTGCAAATTATTTTTACAATTGCATAGAGTATTTTGTTGAATAAGAAATATATGAGGTTATACAAATTATTTTGTTTGTATTGTTGACATTCAATGTTTGACAGTGTTGATATGATTGAATTGAACTTGAAAATCTTGAGTAACTCCAAATAAGTTGGAAAATACTTGCATTGAAAAATTGAAGATAGGTGATAGTTGAAAAGGTGAACTTATAAGCATAAGTGCATAACTTGGCCCATAGTCACCTCGGCCTATAGTCACCTCATAAATACATTTTTGTTATGTGTGGACTTTGTTAGATTAACGAGAAAATCTCCAATCTCGTAGGTGGAAGTTGACAAATGGTTATGGCTCTATATGGTTCTGTTTCTTGTAATGTGTATCGAGCTACTCTATCTTTCTTGCTTCGTACGGAGCCTCGACGGAGAGTCCGCACTTTGTGCAGATAGTCTGCACATTCTATGGGGAGAGTTCACACTTTGTGGGGACACTTCACACAATTTGTGCGGAGTTCCCGCACAATGTGTGGAGTCTCCGCACAATCTGCGAATTCCCCGCACATTTGGAGACGTGACTGCATAACATGGTTTTTTATTTAAATTATAATAGATGAAATTAATTCTAACCACCTCTCCGCAGAGTTTTTTTTCATTGCGGAGAAAACTCTCCGCACAGCTCCGATTTGTGCGAACTCCGTATAGTGCGGAGACTTCGTACACTTGTGTGGAGACTCCACATAGTGCGGAGACTCTGCATAGTGCGGGAGCTTCAAAATTCTCTAGACCTACCTTACTTTACGTTTTTGGTTAACCACAACTAAATGATATAAATTTAAGATTAATTAGAGATATTCTATGCATTGTATAAAGTAAACAAGATTGCAGTAATAGTTCTGGAAATTTTACAAGTCAATAATTAAATTCCAAAAAATTTTGTTAACTTTATAGCTACCATACAAAAAATACTTACTAATACCCTATCAATTTCAGCACAAATTGTCCGCACAATGCAGAGTCTTTGAACAAATTGTGCGGAGTGTCTGCACACAAATTGTGTGGAGACTCCACACACTCCGCACAGCATTTGTAATTTTTTTTGTTCATTTAAATTATTAAATTAGTAAATCAAACGAAACTAAAAATAGGTAAATGCATTTTGTTTATTTTTTTATTATTAATTTTTTGAGAAATTTGATTTGTATACCTTTTTTAGTGTATTTTTTTATTAGCTTAATAATAATTATTTTTTAAAGCATTCTATATAAATAAATTAAACATAATTGTATATAAAAAAATGGACCAAAGAAAAGAAGACAAATGCACGCTTAACCGATTAAAAAAATAAAAAAATCTCTCCTACATTTCGGAGAGATCAATTGATCTGCGGAGAGACCAAATCTCTCTACACCTCCGCACTGTTTGTAGATTTTTTTTTTTTAATGACAAAATCTTAACTATAGTCACAAAAAACATATAGCATTGGAAAATAGCTCTAAGAATATGGATAAACCAAAATTAATTGTTTTGAGAAGTGATTCCTCTCCACCTTCTATCAACAAGAAAATTCTCCCGATGTCACTATGCATAACCCCAAAGAATGACAAGCTTCCAAAGTAATGAATAAAGTGAAAATTGACAACCTGTCTCGTAGAAAGAAGCTTCCCCCATGAGTCCCTAGCAAGTGATTTCAATTGCCTTATTTTTTTCTCTATACTTTTCCTCAATTTCAAACTATCAAACTATTTGGTTATTTATTTTTTTAGTTTACCATATTCTTTTCACCTATTTGACTAACCACCTCGAGGAGATAACAATGAGCCAAAACTACTATTTACCTTTCAACAACAGAAATGAAAATCAAAAAATCAAAATCATTAAAAATTCAAAATCCAAACTCACCAACTTGAATGGCCGAAGACCAACTTCAATGGCCGAAGACTCTTCACCTTAGCTATGTGAGTGCGCGGTACAAAGGCCTACATTTGAGAGGCATTGCTTATAGCACCTGACTTGATAGCGCCTCCCCCACTCATTAAGGCAGAACATAAGAAACTATTGCCAAGAGGGACCGGGATTCCATTTTGAGAGAGTTGAAAAAACACTATCTCTTCTATACATCTGCCCTTTCTCAACGCATTTCTTTAGGGGCTTTCTTCAACCCAAGCGATCCATTGCTTGCCTCGTAAAACAAAATAAAATTCTTAATCTTTCGAGAATAATACCCTCTAAAAAAATCTACCTAGAACCACACAGTAAAATCAAATCAACATATATTCAATTCATAGCAAAAATCTATATTTACTTGCCAAAAATTCTTGTTTCAATAATTCTTTCGATTGTTCTATAATGGAAAGCCTCTGTAAAAGAAAACAAAAATAGATGGTTAGAACTTCTAGAATGTCAACTATCGAGAAGACGAAATTAAAGGGAAACGAAATAGAAAAAAGAGAATAAGAAATGAATAGAAGAAATGAGAAGTTGTACGGTCGTGGTCGTGGAGAATGAAGAAAATAAGTATGGGAGGTTGCTTTGAGAAAGGGAGAAAGCCAGACGGTTGCGTGAAGCGGAGTGATGCGTGATGGAAAAAGAAGATAAAAAAAAAGAAAGTCATTTTGCATTTTGTACAGTAACATGAGATCCATTTACTGTTCAATCAACAGTGCCATTTCCTTACCCTTTTTATAAGAATTTAGATAATCTATGATCTTATGTTAACTATCTTGCCCTTGTTTGAGCCCCATTATTATGGGAAGAATGAATTTTTGAATAGTATATTGATGGAAAATGTGTGGTTAAAAAATAAGGAAAAATTTTGGATTTACGTATAATATTATTTTATTGAAAAATGTGTGGTTGACATGATATCAAAACACTGTTGAAAAATGAATTTTTCCAAAAGAATGAGACTCAAACAAGGGCCTTAATTTGAATGCTATTATTTATAAGGGATTATACTTTTCCACTCATCAGTATTAGTTATTTCGAATATTTAAATTATTTCTCGCTAGTAAACAAATAATGCCAAAAAATTATTATTGTTAAGGAATGCTTATTTTATTAGAATTTTGACTACTTTTATTTTTTGGGAGAAAATTACTCTTTTTATCCAAGTAGAAAATAAATTAGCAATAGGAAAACTGCACCGCATTCTAATTATGATTAAAGCCCTTAAATACTCTCATTTTTTACATTTATATATACAAAATTTTTGGTTACATTTTTATTTTAACCTTCAATTAATTATTGCATCCCGTGTTTTATAACAATTTTTTTTATCCAAATATCATGTTAACGTGAAAAATATATTTTGTGCAACTTATGTAAGTATTGTTTGTCTTGCGTATTTGAAAAATACAGATGACATAAATCTTTTACTTCATCATAGCAGATTTTTTAGTCGTCATCTGAAATAAGATTGTTAATCAAAATAAGGTGGAGAATGAAATATGATGAAAAAAAGTTGAAACTTAAGTACAAAAGTTAAGGACTTTAATTTTAATTATAACTTAGTATGGTTAACAAAAATTGTGGTGTGAATATCTTTCTCGGAGAAATTGTGGGAACCTTACCTGGGTTTCCATAACCTTCTTAAAATGTACAAATGGATCTCAAACCTTTCATTTTGGGCAACATTATTCCTAACTTTTGAATAATTAAACAACATTGTCCCCGACCTTTTTTTTTCCAGAAGATATCTTCACTCATTCTTTAAAAAGACTCTTTTAAGACAATTTTTTTTCCCTCTCAATTTCAAAATAGTAACGGGGGCCTTTAAAATAATAATAATAATAATAAGTAATGGGAAAGCAACCTCAATATTCTATTGTCGAAGTTCATTAATTTAATTCCTACCAATTTTTTCTCTAGACAATAAATATTTATTAGCTTGAGATTTTAAATTCTTAGCAACAAGCCAAATGTTTTAGAATGTGGTCATTTATCGTCAAGGATCAATGAATCAGTGTCTCATTTTTCAATGAGTTAAGGAGAATGTGGCAATTGTTTCACTCTGAGATTTATTGGAGAGCCAGGCTCGAAGCTCCTGTTTTTGGCCTGGCTTTGAGCTTGGCCAAACAGATTTTTCCTTCCACTTTAAGGAAGAGTTGAAGTGACAATCGAGGAAAATGAATAGTTGTTCTTTTTTTTATTTGAATTATTTTATTTTTTGTTTTTAATTATTTTAATTGCCTTTAAAGGAAAATTGTTAGTTTACCCTTTATTAATTATAGTCAAATTAAAGTCAGCGGCTGAATTAACAAGCTAGGAATCATTTGAAGGTCCCTAGGCCCAATATTTATAATTTATCCAAAAGTTAAGGTCTATGCTGTCAGAAATAAAAAATTTGGAATTAATTTACACTTTCTGAGAAGTTTAGAGACCTAAGATGAAATTCTCCCTTAGAAATTAAGGGGGTGTTTGATAGACATTTTTATGTAAAAATGTATTTTAGAATAGTAAATGAATGTGAAATGTGTGGTTGAAAAATAAAAAAAAAATTGATTTACGTGTAATATTATTTTAATAAAGAATGTGTGATTGAAAAGAACAAATAGAAAAATGTATTTTGAAAAGAAGGCCTAATTGTTTTATCTTATTCGAATTGAGTCGTGACTCAGAACCCGAGTCGGTTCTTCTTTGCCGAGTTCTTTCAGTTTCCCATTCAGAAGTACAATAGAACTCAAAGAGCCCTCATTCATCGCTTCTCTATTTCTCTTTCGCTCACATGTACTGACCAGTACTGGTTTTCCACTTTTCTGTGGCGAATATCTTCCAAGATCTCACCTTTGGAATTCACGAGGTAAATTACTTTTATTACCCTCAAATTTCACCTTGTTTGTTCGTTTATAATACAAACAATCGCGGCACAAATTTTTTTTTCGATTTCAACGCGCACAATTTACTTATCATAGTTGTTATTTCCATTTCAATTCGATCTCCTATTTCTGTTTTACTTATGTATTTTATGCTGATTAAATAAATTCCGTATGTAAATATGAATAATGCATTAGGAATATTATGTTGTAGTTAGCAGTTAGCACTAAATCCTTTTTGAATTCTACAAAAACAGAAGGGATTATGCGATGGAGACTTGTTATTTGGCTACGGAGTAGAATGAAATTTGAGGCAAAATTATATTATTTTTCTCTTTAAAATTGAATGGTTAGATTATGTTACCGCATTTCAGGTTTTTTACTTCCTTCTTTCAAAGTAAGTTTTGGGGTTTAGGGAATGGATTGGGACTTCTGTTCTGTAAATTAGTTGTGTAAGCCTAAAGGTGAAAAACAATAAAAGGGGTTGTGTAATTTAGTTTGATTCTCGTTCAATGCCTATAATGATAAATAGTATCATGCTCATTGAAGGAAAATATATATCAGTTGGTTATTATCTGAAACCAAACATCTAGACGATGCAAATCCACCATCGCTCATTCTTTTTGTTCCAATATATTTTTATTTTTGGCACCATTTTTAGTCACTGCTTCTGACATCTAGAGATGCACGTGGTAATCCTTCTATTTCTCCTCAGGTAATTGTTTCGGAATAACATTAAGAAGATGGAACACTCTGAGGATATTGGAGGTGAACATCGGGAGAAACACGATGATGAGGTGATATGCTTGTGATAATGTAGAGTTTTTTCTATTTTTATTTGACGTATTTGTCTAGTTTAAGTTATTGAATGATGATAAATTTGTTCTTGGATATTTAATTCACTTAGTAATAGGCTCAATATGATTGATGCTATGCTTATCGTACTGTAGATTTGTGTTTTTGTATTTGTTTACTCTAAGTTATTGAAGGAAGATAAGTTTGTTCTTGGCTATTTAATTCACTTGGTAACAGTTCTAATATCATTGAGATGCTTTTTGACGGTATGCTTGGCATTGGTCCCAAATTTTCTTCGTTGAAATGATGTTTTTTATAAAATGGTATCCGTTAGACAAGAAGCTTATTTTCTTCTGTTGTTGATGATTTTTTCTTTCCAATAAACTGTATAGAGAGTAAGAATACAGTTTATTTAGTGTGTACTTTAGCATTAAAGACTCTCAGCACTCAAGAAATGACACGTGATACACTTTTTTGGTGCAGGAAGCTGTTGCTCGTCTTGAGGAATTTAAGAAGTCCGTTGAAGCAAAAATGGTCCTGCGACAGAGTAATTTGAACCCTGAAAGGCCTGGTCAGTGCTTTTCTTTCAGAGATTTTAGCTGTTACCTTTAGAAAACTGAACACAGATGTGTTATATCTTCTCTTTGATTGTCTTAGGGAGTAGCATCTAGGTGTATCGTATCGAAGTTTGTAACTTTTTTGAGTGCTATAACTCGTAACATGATAAAATAAAATCATCATGGAATAATGACACCAAAGCTTAACAAAAATCTTCAAATTCATTGGTGGTTCTGCAATAAGGGCTCTGTTTTTTCCTTTTTCTTTTTGAATGCATATTTCTGGAGCCTATGCGTAGTCTCCTGGGAGTTCCTCAGTCTTGGAAAGGAAGACTATAACCTGCTCACTAGCTACCATTTCTTATGGAGCTCTTAAGTGCAAAAATAAAAACACATTCCCATAATGCCCAATGCAAGCAATCAGAGACTTAATAAGTGTGCTAGTGCTAAGCCTTCCATGTTAAACATGATTTTAGAACCTTGTCCAATATCTGAAGATTTTAATCTTGATTCGGATATTTAAAATATTAGCCTCTGCTTGGCAAAATTTATAAATCATATTAAAATGGAATCTTCATTTTCTACCACACATTCCATTGGATCTTCAAGTAATATCCACTTATGCACCACTCTTTTTTCTCGATTTATAAATTGAACCTTACTTAAAATCTTCCCAAATGGAGGCTTAGTGTTGCATATGATATCCTCTTGCATGAATATTGATTCAGAGCTTCTTGATTGCAGACTCAGGTTTTCTCAGGACATTGGATTCTAGCATTAAGCGCAACACGGCTGTTATTAAAAAACTAAAGCAAATAACTGAGGAGCAGCGAGAAGGTTTGATGGATGAGTTACGTGGTGTCAACCTAAGCAAATTTGTTAGTGAAGCAGTAACTTCAATTTGTGATGCGAAGCTTAAGACTGCAGACATACAAGCTGCTGTTCAGGTAGAGCTAGTGATTGAATTGATTATTATTTCAACGGTATGTCTACCAGGGAAAGAGTTAACAATTAAATGTGCAACTGGAATAGGCATTAAGCTTTAAAGGCCATACTCCTGCGATGGTCCCTAATGCATTGACTATGTAATACTCTGATGAACTTCTCACTAGAACTGTTTTAGTTTGCTAAACCATGGTTAATTACTGCTTATATGTTCTCCTATTCTCTGCATTTCAAATACTTGTACTGTGTTGAACTTCTGTCTATTTTAATAGAACTGTTTTAGTGTGTGAAACAATGGTTAGTTCCTGCTTATATGTTTCTTATTTTCCACTTTCAATTACATATACTAACTTGTTTGCTGCAATTTTGACTTGCCGGTTCTGGGTTCTAGCTTGAAGGTTTGTGATGTTATAGTCAGCTTTTTGATACGTGCATAGAAAATGAACTATCCATCCTTTTGAACCTATTGGACTTCACAGCATTCTACTGAACAGGAAACAAACCTTGTCTCATCGTGAAACAGAAATCCGGGGAATATTCTGACTTTGTAAATTTTTTTGTTGAAGTCAAAATGGTTTTCCTGTAGTTCTTGTTGGGCCTGAATCCAAGGGCTACCGTCCTTAATAGCTTCATCTGTATTAAAGACTGGCTGTGATTTTATTCTGGTTTGTTTTTGTCTCTTTTTTTCTGCTTGTGTCCAGTTGGCACAAAGTAAATGAAATCTTTGCTTGCCAAGAGAGAGAAATATATACCTTTGATTTCCTGGAAGTACTATTGTTATATGAAATGTTACCGTGTGTATTACTTGCACTTTGCTCTCCACTGTATTTTAAGATGTCTTTTCCATTATTTTTATTAGATTCTTTCCTGTATCAGATCTGCTCTTTAATTCATCAAAGGTACAAAGACTTTTCTTCTAGTCTGGTTCAAGGTCTCTTGAAAATTTTCTTACCTGGAAAGTCCACCGAGGACTTAGATGGAGACAAAAATTCAAAGGCCATGAAGAAACGGAGCACACTAAAACTTCTATTGGAACTTTACTTTGTTGGTGTTGTAGAAGATAGCAGCCTCTTTACAAATATTATTAAGGATCTCACTAGCACGGAACATTTTAAGGATCGTGATGCAACCCAGACAAATTTATCCCTTCTTGCTAGTTTTGCTCGACAAGGAAGATATCTTCTTGGACTGCCTCTGACTGGACAAGATACGCTGGAAGAGGTGGCTTTCATTGTGCTTTTGTTAATCATATCTTTTACAATTCTAAGTTCTTTAAATATGTGACTTGCACATTTTCATCTTGGTAGTGAGTGAGGCCCTGAGCCGAACTGATTTCATTTCTACAAGATGTTTCACGGAAGCAGTGAAATTTAATTTCTGTTATTAAATATGAAACTAGATGTTCTGATATCATTTTAAGCATGTACATTTCATCAAACGATAAGGAGCTTTGTTTTATTCTTTTATTGTCGGTAGTAGAATATCTGTCACTTGTTTTTGTACATGGGTTGTTACCCTGGCTCTCTTTTTTTAAATATTTTTTTTTTCTCCATGTTGGAAAACGTTCAGTACTATGGTCTATCTTCAAAAAGAAATGTTAGGTAGTTATGAATATGGCATTTGCAATGATAGTGATTTTTCTAAAAATATGAATCTATGTTGGTTTTGTCTGTGTCAAATGAGATATTGGTTTTGAAGTTAGGCTGCACTGAATTCAATAATGGAGTTTTCGTAGCTATTCAATAATTTAGTTGGTCTTTTTTCTGCGCTCATGCCAACGTATATTTGCAGTTTTTCCAGGGACTTAATATTACAGCCGAACAGAAAAAATTCTTTAGAAAGGCATTTCTAACCTACTATGATGCTGCTGTAGAACTACTTCAGGCAGAACATGCAGTAAGAGCTTTGTTCCTTTACACCTGGATCTTTTGTTAGATTTGATTTCGAAGTTTGTTTTTTGTAACCTTAGTTTTCTGCATTCATGGTTATTTGGTGCGGCAATTTAATATTCATGCATGCCATAGTTCTTTTACTAATGGAATTATTTTCTTCTCTCCCAAATGGAAGTCTCTCCGCCAAATGGAGCATGATAATGCGAAGATTTTAAATGCTAAAGGTGAACTGAGTGAAGAAAACGCCTCTTCATATGAAAAGCTGAGAAAATCTTATGACCAACTGTATCGTGGTATCTCTTCGTAAGTTACTTGACCTGATCTTTTTGGACATATTTGTTAAGTTTGTTATACAGTGCTTGTGAACCATACATTAGTTACTACCATGTGGAACTTTTCAAGACTAAGTTGCTATATGATTTCTATCTCTCTGAACCTGATATTGGTTTGCACCCATAGAGAGAAGGTGTTGGCAATATAAGTATCTGGAATCAGGTGTGATTTTGAGCATGGATCATTAAAATTCTAACATTAATGTAGGGGCTCTACTCAAAAGACGAATCAAGTACTTTTAAGCTATCTGACCCTTAGATAGGGGTCATACTCAATAAAATTCAGTTGATTTGAGCTATAATGCTGAGCTGAACTGGAGCAACATGGGAGCAATTCTGCTTATCTTTACACATTATCCAAATGGTTGGCCTTGTTTGCAATAGGCACATTCAACCCACCATAAAGTGGTTGGCATTATCTGTCGACAACCTTTATTCATCAACCTATAGCTATATCGAACACAGCGAAGAAGTGGTTCCCCATAAATGTTTCCGTATTCTATTTTAGAAGCATGAAGTTCAAAATGCTTTCACAAAACCATTTTAAGATATCAAGTTAACCCCCTTAAGAGATCTGATAGTTGCCTAGTCCGCATAAACTAATTTTTAAGCTTCAGCCTGTTTATTAGTAGTTTCTACAAAAATAATAATAATAATAATAATAATAATTAATGAATGAGGCTCTCAGTATCATATATCTGATTCCTTCTGATATGTTATTCGTCATATATATAAATGACCACGCATCAATATCACATGTATCAAAAAATTTATTGGAGATTTTGAAAGGAAGTGGACGACAATTACATAATATCCATAAAAACTGGGTATGATGTTCACACTCTGACATCAGGGGCATACCAGTAGAGCACTGAGCAGTAGAGAAGGATGATCTCTAATTTATAACTCTAAACAGTATTTTCTGCTGTGCATAAAGGGATGCGTGTGCTCAATTTTTTTTCGAGTTTGGGACGAAAAGATCACCCATGTGAACAAGGAAAGAAGGAAATAAAAGAAGGGAGGAGAAAATGGGGACATCTAAAGAGAAAATAAGAAGAAAATGCTCATCCAGTCCAAATTGAATACCTTGGTTTGACTTGGCACTAGTACATGTTCAGTTCTCCGGTTAACCTTAATGCATGACATAATTGATAAGTGAGACCTTGCTTTTTCAGTTTTAAATGGCTGAAAACCATAAAGGTGGGATCATTTTGGTTAGCTTAGTTTGGAGAAGTATAACGATTATTTTGGATAGAGGACATTAAATCTCGAAGACATTCATCAAGGATGGGGGATGCCATAGAGTTCACAAAGAAAAAGTAAGACAAATTTGCTTATATGGGGAATCTGTAGATCAAAATGATTGCCTTCCATATATTTGAGATAACAATTGCTAACTTGACTTGAAGACACAAGTGTAGTGGCATTTCAAAGGAGATTCAATGTTGAGAGCATAGGTAAAATGCTGATTATTTGACTCAAGGCCTTTGGTATGAAGAGGGCATTTGTTGGAGTTCTTTTGTTGGTTGAAATGTCAAGCAATCTGTGGAAATTTTTGAAAATGGGCCAAAAGTGGTATGAGCTATATTGGTTTACATGGGTCCCAGTAACATTTTGTATTATTTTACACCTGCTCAGGAAACTGTCTTGATGCAAATTATTTTGAAAACCTCCTTGGGGAACCTTCCTATTTTTATTTCCTTATTTTTTTAAATTTTATTACTTTCACTAAAATATGAAATCAACTATATTCAGCTGGAGTCTTCATTTTATTTTTGGTCTCATGAGGTTTACTTCAGCACGTGTACCATTTCTTGTGAACTTGTTTTTCTTGCATGATTTGTTGCCTTTTCCTGCTGATTGTTTTGTGCCATATATTTATCAACTTTCTTGTGGATGGTGGTCCTCTAGGTATGTGCTTGCATCTATGATTTCATAGCTTTTTACATTTACTAAATTTATAAATTCTTCACACTTTAGATTAGCAGAAGCACTTGACATGCAACCTCCTGTGATGCCTGAGGATGGTCATACAACCAGGGTCACGTCAGGGGAGGATGTTTCGTCTCCTGGTGTAGGCAAAGATACTTCTTCTCTGGAAGCCTTGTGGGATGACGAAGATACTAGAGCTTTCTATGAGTGCCTGCCAGATCTCAGGTTTAACTTTGGATGAACTGATTTTATCATTGATCCTTAAATCAAATGAGCCAGATTGATTATATAATTTTTTTTTTTCCTTTTTAGAGCATTCGTTCCAGCTGTATTGTTGGGAGAGGCAGAACCAAAGTTGAACGAGCAATCTCCAAAGACTCAAGAACAACCTAGTGTAAGACATAAGCGTTGCTCTTAGTACACAACTTATAGTGTTTTGATTGAACTTCAAAAAGATTTTGGAAATCCATCTTCTGACATTTTTTCTATAATAAAGTTTTGATAATGTCATATTGAATGTTATTTAACACCAAAAGAAAGCCATGATATGCCACTGTATGTTTTTGCTAATACTTCAGTCTGCCAGTGAACTCCTGTTGTTGGTTCTTTGAGAATTTATAGGTTGGAAATATGATTTAAGTTTATCGGTTGGAAATATGATCTTAAGTTTATCTCTTCTTCTTTTTTCATACCAAGGATTTCCCTCTTGTTTGGAGGTTTTTGGGGGAAGTGGAGTGGGTGGATGAGGGTAACCTGCAATTTAAGGGCCTTTTCTAAGAAGTCAAGTGGAAGTGCAATATAAAAAATCTGTGGAGTTGTTCTGATAATGAATGTCTATTTAAGATTTGTGTCAAAAATTGGAGATAGCTATCACACAATGTATGGTAAGCTTGTCATTGTGGTTGTACTTACAGTTTATGCTGTACATTGTAACCATCCATGGTGGACTTTATATTACAAATTTGTACTTAGGTGACTTACTGAAAATGCTGCTGGTTATAATAATATAGGACAATAAGCATATGATGCATTTTTAGCTTCCCCTGGGTTCAGTTATATTGTCTGATTTTTTTGTAGATATGTTTCTCTATTCACTAACATGGAAATTTCAATATGAAGGATCTGACTGCTGAATCAGATAAAGGTCAGGTAGCTACTCAAGATACTGCAGAGGTTTCTTCTGATTCTGGAGCTTTACAGGAGGATAAAGATGGCAAAGGGAAGGATAAAGAAGAAAAAGACAAAGAAAGGACCAAAGAACCTGACAAAGAGAAGGGAAAAGAAAATGATGCTGAAAGAAGAGGAGAAAATGAAAAGGATAAAGTTAAAGGTCTTGAAGGAACAAATCTTGATGCTTTGCTACAGAGACTTCCAAGCTGTGTGAGCCGTGACTTGATTGATCAGTTGACTGTAACCATCCTTCTTGTTCAAGCTCTCATGTGTATTTCCTTTTCATTTAATACATCTTTAGTTGAAGCTCTTTTTATCTGAATACTAATTTTTCAGGTAGAGTTTTGCTATTTAAACTCGAAGGCCAATAGGAAAAAGCTTGTGAGGGCTTTGTTCAATGTTCCTAGGACATCTCTTGAGCTATTGCCGTACTATTCACGAATGGTCGCCACACTGTCAACTTGTATGAAGGATATCTGTTCCATGCTTTTACAGTTGTTGGAGGAAGAGTTCAACTTTTTAATAAATAAGAAGGTTAATAAAGCCCTTTTGCACGCGTTACTCTGTTGATTATAGATTTTTTGTTTGATCACACTCGATTATTTATTTTTTCGAATCATTCTATTTGTTATTTAATTGCAGGATCAAATGAACATCGAAACGAAGATCAGGAATATACGTTTTATTGGAGAACTTTGCAAGTTTAAAATTGCATCAGCAGGCCTTGTTTTCAGTTGTCTAAAGGTATGATAACAGAGTATTTGATAAATACTGTCAGGTTACTGTTCCTGTAATTTCGTGGGTGAGCTTGCTCGGTCTCGATCTCTATCTCGCGCACAAAAAACATACACAATTTACTCCACATTTTAACTCACGTGCTCTCATTTACATAACTGGTTCTCCCCTCCCTCCAAGGATCCACAAATTCACAACATTGTGCAGGGAAGCTTATATACATCACTTTGGGCATTATGAGTGAATTTTATGCTGCATGGTTGACATCCAATGAGGGCATCATTGATAGTTCTTTTATACTTGTCCCGAACTAATTTGACTATTTGGTTCCTTACTGAATGGACTTGTTTCACTTATGTCAGGCTTGTTTAGATGATTTTACTCATCATAATATTGATGTTGCTTGCAATCTTCTTGAGACATGCGGTCGCTTCCTCTATCGGTCTCCTGAGACTACTTTACGCATGTCTAACATGTTAGAGATATTGATGCGCTTGAAAAATGTCAAAAATTTGGATCCTCGTCAGAGCACTTTAGTGGAGAATGCTTATTACTTGTGCAAACCACCAGAAAGATCCGCCCGGGTCTCTAAAGTTCGTCCTCCACTGCATCAGGTAGTCATGCTTTTTAGATCAGTGACTTTGCCGTACAATCGGACTGAATAGTGTGTTAACCTTCTCTGTGGTGAAATTGCAGTACATTAGGAAACTTCTTTTTTCGGATCTTGATAAGTCTACGATTGAGCACGTGCTGAGACAGTTACGTAAACTACCTTGGACTGAATGTGAACCGTACATTTTGAAGTGTTTCTTGAAGGTTCATAAGGGAAAATATGGTCAGATTCATTTGATTGCATCCCTCACTGCTGGTTTGAGTCGCTATCATGATGACTTTGCTGTTGCTGTTGTTGATGAGGTTTGTTCTTCAGTATCTAAATTTGGTGCAAACTTCCGCTAATAATTGCTCTTAATGTTTCTTTGCATGAAAGAAAAATGAAATGGAAGGAAAAGGTAGAAAGGTGAAGAATAGTGCCCTTCACCCTCCCTGATTCTTTTACATGTGATTTTTTCTTGCATTTCGAAAACACGTTAATACCGAAATAATAATTATACTTTTGTCTTCCAAAATCCTGTTCATGATATGAAAGCTGCTTTCTCCATTTTTGAGGTATTAGCAATTTTCTCGACCTTGCTATAGGCAAGCTTCCAGTAATTTGTGCTTGTGATCTTTCTCCGTTTGCTTGCTAGTTGCTACTTATGCTCAAAAGAGATACGAGAAGTCTCTATTGCTGCAGCTTTAATTTTTTATATTATGGGAACACCTTCCCCAGTACTACTACATTGGTTTTTATTCTTGATTCACAGTATTTAACAGTATATTAGATAATGCTAGTGATGCTTGAGTTACCTTACCCATGAACTTTATTTTCAGGTTCCATTTAGAACTAGATCTTATTGTGATGGCTTATGACCTTAAATAGGTGGTTGTAGATTTTTGTTGGTGGGCTTGTTAATAATTGCCAGCTTGAAGGGTCGGATGGGCACCTTATGGTTGAAAAATAATACCACTATTTTTTGTTGTCAAATTTATAAATCAATTTATAAAGAGGAACACTAGTGGGTGCGACGAAATGTGTGAAAAATAAATAAGTAGTAGGTATGAACGTGGGGTTGAAATTAATGCTTGAATTTGGTTGTGTTTATAAATTTTGATGCTCGGACTCTTCGAAATGGTTGGAGTACCTGTGTCGGACACTACATGACACGACATGGGTATGGGTATGGGTATGAGATATGTGTCGGATTCTCCAAATTTAAACCGGACACTTCGCCCTTTTTTACTTCTTTTTTCTTTTCCTTTTCTTTCCTGTTTCCTATAATTGAAAACTAAACCCCAAAATTGTATTTTATTAGTCTTTACATCTTATTTAATACTCATTTCCTTTTTTGTGAACTATTGATTTTGGTCTATTCAAAATGACATCTTAGGTTAATAAAAAAATTTTAAGTTTGAAAGACGTACCCATGTACTCGTGTCTGAAATTTGGATTCTTTTTAACCATGTCCCCGTATTCTACATTTTAGAAAATAAAAGATCCGACACTTAGATACGTACCCGAGTCCAAGCATCATGGTTTATAAATTGATTTATAATTGGTTGCCAAACTTGAAATAATATATATATATATATATATATATATATATATATACTAACTGTTAATTCTATTCGAGACAGTAAATGATATACTAAACTAAGCTTTCTTTCGGCAAATTTACAAATATTTTTGAATTAGTCAAACTTCATTTTCAACCACATTCCAATAGACCTAGAAAGATTATTTACAACTCATTCTATCCATATATAAATTAAACAGTTTATAAATTCTTCCCAAACGAGGCTAAATTGTTGGACTTGAGATCAAATAATTTCAAATTTTACCATATGTTTTATTTTATGTTGTGTGGAGGTCAGCATATGAGGTCTTGAATTTTGTCATGATTATTTGCAATTATGAAGCTATCATCCACAAATAAAAAACTTTGTAGTTTAGTAATCCATTTTAAAATTAAATACTAAGAGCTTTACGTCATTTTCTTATTTGTATTGACTTTATTCTGTACTGTTTTTGCTTTTTTGGTCATTTGACCGTGAGGTAAATCTTTTCGGCAGAGATACTATTTAAATTCTTAAAACTCATTGCATGCGTTCCAGAAAGTTTTTTACAACGATGATTGTTGTGGTTTTCCAGCACATTTGGCTTATCTTTTAGCTAACATATCAGAAACAGGAAAAAGAAAAGCATGTTTTGCTTGACTTGGATTTGAATTTGAAAGAGTTACATTATTTTTTATTTTTTTTTTATTTTTTTTCAGGTTTTGGAAGAAATCAGGCTAGGATTAGAGTTGAATGACTATGGTATGCAGCAACAACGGATTGCCCACATGCGTTTCTTGGGGGAATTATACAACTATGAGCTTGTCGACTCATCTGTTATTTTTGATACACTCTATTTGATTCTCGTTTTTAGCCATGGTACTGCAGAGGTATGGATTTATTACCTTAAGGTTTTAAATTACATAATTACATCCAAGAAAATTGAAGTTTTCTTCTTGTTTGGCTTGCTTGATTCATGTCAAACCCTCCCTGGTTCTTTTTGCTTGGAAAATGATATGATCATGAAGTGTACAGTACCTTCCATGTCCTCTTCACCACATGCCCATTCTTGATTCCATTTTACTAACACTACCCTGATTAGAATGAATCTCCTTTCTGGAATCACATTCGCAAAGCCCCCGTAATACCCACGCCTGATTATTGCCCAACCTTCTAATTTCCATTGTTGTTATTTCCGCTTCTTTTTGGTAGAATTTCTTTATGCATCTAATTGGGGGAGGGTGCTGGTTGGGTTGGTGGCTGAAACAATGGAGGTTTACTTGAATGGCAGGGTTGATGGCTAGATTCAAATTCACCAAGTTGTAAATTTTTTTTTTCTGATTTTATCTTTCTCACGATCTTGAGACTTTCATATAATAGACATATAACGAGTTTCATACAAATTGTTACACCAAATTGAATACCCCCATAGATTGTATTTGTCTCTTCCACAATCAATATTATTTTCTTTGTTTATGATGTGGCAGTTATTTGATGCTTGGTGTCACTCCTCGTGATTGAGTTCAAAATGTGCAGTCCTATATTCGAGTACAATATTTGCATCACCATTATTGTTCCTATGCATTTTGTAAAGATAATTTTGAGTTGGAACCATTGTCTGACCCAGTTCTTTGCTATGATGATTATTAGCAAGATATATTGGATCCACCAGAAGACTGTTTCCGCATCAGGATGGTTGTCACACTTCTTGAGACTTGTGGGCATTATTTTGATAGAGGTTCGTCAAAGAGGAAACTTGATCGTTTTTTAGTACATTTCCAGAGGTACATATTAAGCAAAGGTGCACTGCCCCTGGATATTGAGTTTGACTTGCAGGTATGAGTTCAATTTTTTATTTTCTTTTGTTTATTCTGTTAGTGAGTTGAGTATTCAAACCTGGCGCACCCACAAGTTTGGGTTTTTAAAATCTACTTATATAGAAACTAACATGCAACCAGAAACTTATGGATTTCAACACGGTTATTGACGAATAAGCAACTTGTGCATTTTTTGCTTTGTTTTGGTTGAATCAAATGATGTTTTTTTTAAAAAAAAAAAACTTATGGTAACCTGTGTAACAATCCCCGTCATCCTTTGATGGCGTAAAAATGTTCAACTAGATGCTCTGCTTTTGGCCTTCTATGAACAGACATACTTAATAGTAAGAAAACTTCTATTTAGTTTGGATGTAATAACACAAACAGTAAAGCATAAAGTATCTTTGATGCCATGTGTAAATATAGGTGTAGCAGTTGTGGCTAATCAAAAGACTCTGATTGAATTCGAAGCATGAAATCGCCTCATGTTACTTGTTAAATAAGACGGGTTTTCAGATAAGCAAACTGCTTCAAGATGAGTACGATTTCTAGATAGATATGATTTGCTCTGACTTAGTTTAGATGAAATAGTTGCTGGTATGCTTGTGGCTAGAGAAAAATAGGAAAGAAAGGACTTTCCTGAAGTCGTACGAGAAATGCCTACTGTTTGTCATAGAACTGAGAACGCTTAGTGTCTTCTCCCCTTTCCTTCGCCAAGCACACCGGGAGATATATTTAAAACTTTTATAAAATGCTATATGGATATTGGATGAGGACTTTGGAGTTAGGCAATCATTTCTCTTACAGTCCCAATTAATCTGAGTGCAAATGGGTTGGATTTAAATTATGGATGGCATATGATCTAGTTTTACCTTATTTATTAAAACTGTTTCTTTTCTTTTTATGTTTTTTTACAATATAACCATTTCTGAGCTGAACCTGTGAATTGAGGCAGGATTTATTTGCTGAATTACGCCCCAACATGATTCGATATTTATCAATTGAAGAAGTTAATGCTGCACTAATTGAACTTGAAGAACATGAGCTTAGAGTTTCATCTGAGAAGGCTCACAATGATAAGCATTCAGATGCAGAAAAGCATCGTAGAAGGACTTCATCTGGCGCTTTATCTGTGAATGGACAAATCCTTGCAAATGGCATGGAGGAAAATGTTGAATTGCATGAAGAGTTTGCAGGGGAGACTGATAGTGAATCTGGGAGTGGCACTGAGCACGTTGATAATGACGAAGAGTCAGATGAAGATAATGATGGTGAAAGTGATGATGACTATGAAGATGGAGGTGAACCAGCTTCTGATGAGGATGATGAAGTGCATGTCAGGCAGAACGTGGCAGAAGTGGACCCTCAGGAGGTAGCTGATTTTGACCGAGAACTTCGTGCTCTAATGCAGGCAAGTGGTATAGGAACTCTGTATTTTTCTAAAATTTTGTTGATTAACACACTACAAATAGCTTACTTGGTTGAATCATAAAATATGCTGCATTGCAAACAGAGAATAAAATGTGTTCATTGTAACATTTTCACCTTTACCTTTACTGTTGGAGTTTGCTGAATTTACTTGGAATATGATAGAGAGGGTTAATGGATGCTGTTTTAATTATTCAGTTTGGAAAATGCACTCAAAATATCATAGAGATGAATAATTTTTATTTTTTTTTGATAGGTAATCAAAAAATTTTATTAATCAAAAATTTTTTTTTTTTTTTTTTTTTTTGGATAGGTAATCAAAAAATTTTATTAATCAAAAGAGAATACATAGGATAGGAAGTGTATTATCAATTTAAATAAGAAACAAAAAACATGAAATTAGACAGCCCTTCTATAAGATTAGTAGCTGCTTCATTAAACCAAGTATGCATAGAGATGAATAATTGATACGGTTTAATAATGCGAGTGATAGAATGTTGAACGGACTGAAGTAACATGAACCATTCAATGAACGCAGGAGAGCTTGGATTCCCGAAAATTGGAGCTGCGATCACGACCTACATTAAACATGATGATACCAATAAATGTGTTTGAGGGCGCCACCAAGGAGCATCATGGGAGAGGGGTTGAAGGAGAAAGTGGTGATGACACTACAGATGAAGGGACTGGAGGAACAAAGGAGGTTAGGGTAAAGGTCCTTGTGAAGCGGGGGAACAAACAACAAACAAAGCAAATGCAAGTTCCTCGGGATTGGGTCCTGGTACAGAGCACAAAGCAGAAAGAAGCGGCTGAGCTTGAAGAAAAACAAGATATCAAAAGGCGTGTCCTAGAATACAATGATAGAGAAGAGGAGGAACTCAGTGGAGGGACCCAACCATCTGGGTGGACACCGAGTGGTGGAGGTAGAGTTGTGAACCGCGGCCACACATGGGAAGGGCATGGTCGAGCTTCTGGATCGCGTCATCGGAATTTATATCATTCTGGTGGTGGGCATTATTACGGTAGAAGAAAGTGAGAGTCAAGTAATATTACTAAGTTGTAGACATCTTCTCTTGCAGCAGTCCCTTAAGTTCTTCCTCACTAGCAACATGGGTACATACTTCTAACAACCAAGATGGCACTATCATGATGATAGGCCATTTTATTTTTGGCCAAGGGAGTTTCTCGTGTTGTACAGGACAAGGATGACTGTCTATCTCAGTATGCTAGTAGGTTGTGGATTGGAAAGTTCATTGTTGCTTTTTCGAAAAAAGGTATGAAGGCGAATACTTTATAGCATTATTGTGATGATTATTCTTAATGTCTGGTTTTTATAGCTACTACTCATACAGCTTTTGAGCTTACATGAATGAATCTTAGATATGTAGGGTTTTTCTTGTGTATGTTGAAAAGAACAGAGGCTGTATTATATTCTCT